GTTTAGACATATGTATGGAAATCAATATGACTTAGGTGAATCATGATTGTTATAAGGCTTATTGATTCCAGTGAATTTGTACCAAGTATTAAGTAAATCTGGATCCACTGGGGGTAGTTATCCTGAGGGTGGAACTTGGGCTTATTAAATTAACCCATGCAAGGAAAGATGTGTGGGTTATTATTATTATTTTTTGTAACAAGTTAGAGCAGGAATGTGAAAAACATAGCTTTCCACATATTTGACCATAGTTTTTATGATTGCTCACCTTTGGCTTTGGCTTTGGTGGATGTAAGTTGAAGTTCAACATATGGAATTCCATGTTCCCCTACTCCTGTTCTTCAGAGAGCTCCAGAATTAAAGCATGTCACTTATATTTGTCTGTAAAGAGGTGGCAAGACTTCAGCTCACAAAATCTGTTTTTCTTCTTCATTTTTTGGCTAGATTGCTGAGATATACCTATTAGAGGCAGCTCAGAAACAGAGTACCAGCTGTGGGGTTGAAGCCTATGCAGATGTGTGGCTTCACCACACATACATCAAACTGTATCTGAGCCATTTCCCATCAAATATCTTATCACAGCTCAGCAGGGCTGCACAAAGACCTGCACAACTCTACAGTCCTGTGATTCCAGACCTGGTCAAGGTCAAGTAACACAAATAGTTGAAGAACATGATGACCTGAGAGATAAACGATTGCTTCAAACAAGGGGTTGGGATTGTATGGGCCACCAGAGGTAGTTGGATTGCAAATCCCAGTAATCCTCATCGTTGGTTATGTTGGCTGGGAGTCGAAACAACATCTGGATGGCTGTACAAATCTCAGCCCTATATTAAACAAACAAATGGGAGTCAATATATATATTCCTAAACAACTGCAAATCACACCAAAATAATTCAGAACACCTCTGATCTATCTTCCATCTATTCTTAGTTTGGACTAAAGAAGAAAAGGCTTATGGAGGAGAAAATGGTAATGTCCTTCCATGAAAGTGGAAATCTGTTTATGCAGTGTGGGACCATCACTCAAATATGGATGCTTCTCCATAAGAAGGATAATGATTCTATGCCCTTAAGTGGGTGGTAGACATATTGGGATAGGCATAGTAAAATATATAAAATGGCAAAATGAAAGTTTGCTTTTGGGAATTTATATTTTTCCCCCAATATTTTCAAGCTGTGGATGGTTGAATCTGGGGGCCTTTGCAGACTGCCAGAAATAGTGCAAATTGAGTCCACTTTAAGGGTTAGGGTTACTGCTAGGGAGTCATGGGAATTGTTTTTTTCCCCCTGAGACATTGAGCCTTCTCTGTCAGAGAGCTCTGGTGCCACAATAAAATACAGTTCCCATGATTCCCTAACCCTAACCCTAACTTAAAGTGGACTCAATTTGCACTATTTCTGGCAGTCTGCAAAGGCCCTCGGATAAAGAATCTGTGGATATAGAGGGTTGACTGTATTTAGTTAGTAGAAGAATAAAGGGGGACAAGATAGTATTCAAATACTTAGTGAATTGTCACATAGATGAAAGCAAAGATTTGTTCTCTGTTACCCTGCAGGGCAGAATGACAGATAATGGATTTAAACTACAGGAGGGCAGATTTAGGGTGAACACTGGGAGAAATATCCTGATGGCAAGTATGGAACTACTAAGATACTGGAGGTTTTCAAGCAGAGAATTGACAGATGGGTTTTTAAGGATGCTCTAGCTCTGAATTTCCTTTATTAAATAACGAGTTGTTAGACAGTGTCTCCAACTCTACAGTCCTGTGATTCCATACTAAATTTGTTATTGACATTACTCTGCTATGCAGATTGTCAGGGGACAGAAATCCATGAGCTCATTAGCTTCTGGCACCTAAAAATCTTGGCTCTTTATAGATCAAGTATAAATCAACCAGCAACTTGAAGGAAAATACACACAAGTTGTCTTGTTCTGCTTGATTTATGGAAAGCTTCACAGATTTCTAAGCAGATTATTTCCTTTGTGCCTACCATTGTATAAATGGGTAATGACCACATGCAAACTGTGGTAGGGCTCCTTTATTTTTAGAAGAGGAAATTTGGGTAGGATCACCTTAGCAGAGAACAGATACAAGAGGGAGAAACCCATTTTTTTTTCTCCCAGCCACCAATTATATGCACAGAACTTTCTTCCATTACATTAAGGATCTTTCTTAAGGTACACCAAAGCCATTTTATTGCCAGAAACAAAAGGACAAGATGGTACCCTATGTCCACAGCATGGACAGATGCTGATCCGACTGGCAGCTGGATCTGTATTCAGCACTTATATGCTTTCTGGGGCACCTGCCACATTCTGTCTCGTGATAAAGCTGTCCCTGCTCCCATTATTGTCCTTTCACTTAAATATTGTACATATTGGCTCAGAAATAGTCCCACAGATCTCAATGGAACTTATAGAGACAGAAAATAAATAAACACACAAACAATACACACACAAAGAGTATAGTTTGTGCATGTATAGCTATTTAGATATTAATTTAAATAATACATATTATTTACATATATAGCAAATTCTAAAAGTTAGAAGAGGCACTTCCATTCTTCTTATATGAAGAATTCTACACCAACATGTTTGGCCCTGGCTGGTGGAAGAATTAGGAGATTAAAAGGACTTTTATAGAATCAGAGTTGGCAGGGACCATAAGGACCATGTAGTCCAATTTCCTGCCATGCAACAAACAAAAACACTCCTGAGAGATGACCATCCAAGCTCTTGTTCAAACACCTTCAAAAAAGGAGAGTTCACCGGCTTCCAAGTTGATTCCACTATTGAACCACTCTTACAATAAAGTAGTTCTTCCTAATGTTTAGGAAGAACAGCTTTTTTGTCATTTGAATTAATGTGTTTATATCTGAAGCAGTAGAAAATATTTCACTCCATCTTCTACATTATATTGGCCACCAAGACAGCCTATCTTGTTTTTGTTTGGAGTTTATATACTACTGGACATTAAGCTTCCTCCAGTAAAAAGATTCATGCCCAATGGATCTTCACATCTATTGTGCCTTCAGTGCTATAAAACTATAAGGACTACGCATTTATTATCTAGGGATCACTGATCATTTGTGTAAATCTATGGAAAACTGACATTTAAATTTTATTTATAAAACATGCATATATACATTTAACTCTTTATTTTTTGACTGTTAGTTTGTTTTTATCAGTTTTGTGAGTCAGGTCCTAAATTTGCTTTTTCCTACTCAATGGGACTTACAACAAGTTGTGGAGAGAAAGGACATCTTCACACAGTTGTTCTCTACTGAACTGTCTCAGACTTACATTTTTTGAGGAACTGTAGTTAACATATTGGGGTGCAGAACTGAAAATAACTTCTGTAAAGCTAATTGAAGAGTAGCAGCTTTGAAGTTCAGCCATCCAGATCAAAGTGAAAGAGTCATCCACCATCTTCAGAACCTTAACAGAGAGATTATTTTTAACCTCCTTCAAACAGGTGTTTTCCACCCTCAACCAGTTACAATGTATTTATTTACATTTAATTCTCAAAAATATCTTCTCCACCCTCACTTCAAGCTAGGTAAAGAAGGAAGAAATAAGCAAGGCAGGAAATGGAAAATATGTCAACCCTAAATGGGTCAAAGCAGTCAACCACCTCTCTTCTGTGATGTCACTGGCGCAGAAGCTGATCTGGGTCAACTTTTGAAGCTCACCCCGCAGAAACCGCTTCCTTTGGCAAACAAGTTTGTTTTGCAGAGAGATGAAGGGTTTGGAAGATGGGACACGTGCCGGTACTCATGTGGAAGGCCAAGGAGGTGGGGAGAACGTTACACCGCAAGGTAAAAGGTGCTGCCCTGAGTTGAGAGGAGGACCACAAAAATGTTAAAGTCAGGTGTATCCGGGGTGGTAGAGGAGAAGACATAACTAAGTATATCATCACCAAAGGCCTGCAAGACCTAAGAATAAGTCTGTGGCTGCCTCAGTTGTGGTGTGGACAAATTGGGCATGTGAATAAGGGCAAACAGGGGTCTTTTATGACCCCTTTAAATGAATCTAGGCTACTAGTCACAGCTAAATATATGTATTTTTTCAGTTATCAGAAACATATTCTGTTCACTTTCATCAAAGATCAAAATGTTGTGTCGGTACATTCTGTGCGATTAGTAAAGTTATATGTCAATTGGAGTTTGTACTGATTTTATAAATTGATTGGGGTAATAAAATTATTATTAATAATAAAAAAAACAATCAAATGATATCTGCATGCCAGAGTGGAATAATTGCCTAAGCTGGCAGATGGGAGGGAGGGCAGCAGCGTCCTTCTATGGCTGCTCCTCCTGAGGCCCTGTTAGAAGGCAGAAATGTGTGGAGCACATGGAATGTCCTATCCCCCTGAGGTGTGGTGGAGGATGTTATTCAATTGCCAGTATTCAACTAGAAGCCTAATCAGCTTCTGTATGTAGAATGTGGGAGTGGGTGCTATCTTGTCCTTTGCTCAGGCAGCAAAAGGTCTTAGGCTAGTCTATAGTGCAAACTCTGGACAACAGGAGGGAGTTATCTGGGTGAGTTCACATAACCATGTGGAAGATGTAAAAGGCTTTAAGAAACATGGGGCTGTCTTCCTGTCCTTTCATTGCTGGCCAAGAAGGCACCAAATATTAGCAATGGAAAATTCTAGACATTTCTCTACAGGTAAGGCCATCCCTATATCATTTGAAGAAATCCTGTTGGATCAGACTGAAGTTAGTTCTATTCTAGGATCCTGTTTCTGTTGTTCTTGGGTATAGAATTGGACCAAGACATTTTAATGGCAAAGGACATTATGGCAACCACTCCTTTTTATAGAAGACCCAACTTGTTATTTTTGTTGCATGCCTTCAAGTTGTTTTCAACTTATGGCAACTCTAAGGCTAACCTATCATGCTGTTTTCTTGGCAAAATTTGTTCAGAGATGGTTTGCCATTGCTTTCCCCTGAGGTTGAGAGCATGACTTGCCCATGGTCACCCAGTGGGTTTCATGCCCAAGCGGGGAATTGAACCTTGGTCTCTAGAGTTGCAGTCCAACACTCAAACCACTGCACCATATTAGGTTGTTAATACTTATTTCAATGCAGAGAGTGGGAAAACAAAGTTAAAGCCAAGTTAGGGTATTTGGGGGTGGGACGACAGGGCTCCCACTTTTGTTATCTGTTGCTTGAGTCACTTGTCCAACTCTAATGGTAGGGCTGGCCCTGGCAGGAATAAGAATATGAGAACATGTTCTACCCTATTATCAGTTGTAAAGACTAAGTACAACTGACAGCTATATCACACAGCAGTCTATCTATTCACTTGGCATTATTTATTTTGCATAATAAAGATCTGATAGTCCTGGGCATAGCAAAGAATTACAGAGGGTCATGAAGCTGTATAAACTTATAATGAAAGATCTTTAGGAGTGCCCTACGACTATAGATTTTATTAACTGTAGTTCACACATTTTCAAGCATATATTGATTGATGTAAGGACTTAAAAGTATTAAAGTGAAGGCCAAAATTCATCTGTCTTGAGGAACCAGGCTGGAAAGGAAAGGCAGGGAATTGGCAGTGATCCAGATACTGTAAGATTTACATCACACCTGCCCACTGGCCACAACTTCTAATCCAACATATGAAGTACAGTTTCACCCCCCCCCCACCTTTGTACAGCCTGAATGTATTTTTTCTACATGTCCTTGATTATCTAGAGGCAGACCACCAAGTGCTGACTTCCTAAATATGAAAAGTAATCTGTAAAAGTCCATCAATAGCATAGTTGGGTCACACAGTATTTAGAGTGCAATTACAGCATCCTCAAATATTTATTTTGTGGAATCAACTACTTATATGCACTCACATGGTATTTTCTTCTAATTATGGAAACCTAGCAAGTTGGGGGGAAACTAAGCCAGCAACAACTAGGCACGTATGCATGTTATTCTAACATGCCACTGTGTTTTCCTATTGCAGGTACCATATAACTGTGAAGATTGTGCTACATGGCCTCCTACTTGTTTAAACTGGCTCAGGAGGGGATGTGAGATTTGAAGGGTTGTACAAGAAATCTTAACAATAAATCTTGTAAAGGTGTGGTCTTCCTGATTGCGGGATTCAGATTTTAACACAAAGGGAAGATCTATGGTTGTGAGTGGAGCTGTGAACTAACAAACATCTGCTTTATTTCTTGGCATTCTTGATACAGTTTAAAGGCTACTGGCAATTCTACTAGTTGAAATTAGTAGTCAATGAAAAAGTGGCCTGCTTATGCAATTTTCAGAAGATGACACCAGATGGCATTAAAGTAAAAGGAAAGAAAAGACAGCACTACCAGGCAACATAGGAAGGAAACTGAGTAAAGACTGTTGAAGAGTATGGGTCGCCTACTCAACTGGAACTTTATGACAGTCTGATACAGATGACTACGAATTTCATTGACTACTAATTTCAAGGAGCTTGTTTGGTTGCAGGGGAGTAAAACTGAATTCCTTTTCATCACTTTCTTTGTCACCATCAAGGAGAAACTTTGTTGTTGTAGAATTTGTTAATAGGATTATCACAATATTGCCTCAGACCAGCAGAATTACTTGGCCAAACTGTGAATGCCACAGAGAAAGGGAATGTCAGGGATGCTTAAAAGTTAATTTTAAAAGATAGCTCTATAAAGACAGAAAACCCTCCAGTCCATCTGCCATCATGCTGGCTTCAGAGGGAGAAAAGGGCATGGGGCCTAGACCAGAATAAGAAGAAGGCCCTCCCTCCAGTCCATCTGTCATCATCTGGCCTCATAGGGAGAGAAGAAGCATTGAACTTGATCCCCTTCCCCACCACCATTCCCTTCTCCTTTTGTGTCATGTCTTTTCAGATTGCAAGCCTGAGGGCAAGGAAATGTCTAATTAACCATTTTTAAGTCGCTATGAGAGCCTTCGGGGCTGAAGAGCAGGATATAAATACTTCTAAATAAATAAATAAATAAATAAATAAAATCAACATTTAGGCTGTCCAGTTATTTGAGGCATATATTTTAAGAAGTTTTAAGAAGAGTCTCACAAGTTTGATTGAAATACGTACCAATAGTTATGTTGGAATCCAGACTCATTCAACTCTGTGATCTATTTTGGCAAGACAGAACAACATTCAAGGGATGTGCCAGGAAAGCATTCATGGTTTTGAAGCACATGAAAAAGGGTGGGAGATCTCTTAGCTGATGGGTGAAATTCAGTTTAAGAGAGCTTCTTGGCAAGTGAGGGTACTCCAGTAGTGGCTGGAGACAAAGACGTAAGGGTAAGCAGCTCTTAATGCCAATAACTAGAATCCAGGATAGACATTTTAACTATTAAAATGGAGGCAGCAATAAAGTATAAAAGCTGGAAAACCATCAAACAGTGATATCATAGGACATGACTATCTGGGGATTTCCCAAGGACCAGGTTTGGCCCCTGGCCTGGATTTCCAACCCAACATGTAAGTGCATCCCAAACCAACCAATTCAGCTTCACCTCACCACACATCACTGAAGAGCAAGATACAAGAAATATAACAAACAAGGTTTATTGAGACTCAAGGCAATTACTATGTATTTCAGGGGACCTTTTAAAATTTCATTCCTTTGTCCATCAGAGGGTTAATTCATTACATGTGATTTCATTCCTTTGTCCATCAGAGGGTTAATTCATTACATGTGATGTGGCTCCCAGTCACTAGCTGAACAGTCTTAAATGAACACAATCTGCAAGGGGAAAAACAGAGAAAAGAAGGTTTACTTTTAAAGGAGAATCTCCTCTCACTAGATCAACATGGTAGCACATTTAGATTTCCATGTAAATCTGAGAGAACACACCTCAAAAGTCTAATTGAAACTTTAAGTAGTTAACAGCAAGGCTGCTACCTCAACCACACATGAAACCTTGTTAGTAAGCAAGCCCAACCTGTGCTAAGACCACACACTAAATCATATACTGTTCAGTCCTTAAACTTTCCTAGATGTACCAGAAGACTAGGAATGTACACTGTACAAACAAGAAACTGTGTATAAAACTCTGCCAGAGAACGCCAATCATATGGCAATTTCAGTCTCTTCTCCTTACTACTAAGCACGATAAAACTACCTGCTGGTTTTCCCTGTATGATGAAGTTCAACAGGAATAATAATAATAGGATCCTCTTGGTCACACACATATAACAATTGAAGGATGCTTCACAGATCTATTTACGGTACCTTTCAACAAACAATTTGCCTATGAATTGAGACAATACTAAAAAAGCTAATACAGAAAAAAAGCAACCACCCCCTAAATACCAGAGATGCTATTATTCTAACAAGCCTTCTCATTCCTTAAAAATAGGTTCCCTCATCTTAACAAAGCACACATACCTCAAGCTTCCTTTTATCAGCCCACAAAATTGATAACAACCAAATGTAGGATGGTGCTAGCAAATAAAAAGTCGGCGAAGGCTCGTTCTGGTGAAATTCCCTGAAATTCTGCTTTGTTCTGTGGGTTGATTTGGATCCTCAAGCAAACTAAAAAGAGAAGGAGAGAAGCATACACTGTAACAGATTGCTGGATAAAACATACAGTGAACATAGCAAGAGGTATCATTAAACACAATAATTTTAGCTCAGCTTTGCATACTAGTGTTGCAGGGAAGACAGATTAGCATATCTTTAAACACGCTGGATAATGGAAAAGAGGGCATGCTTATCAAATCTGTAGATGACACTAAATTAGGAAAAGTTGCTAATACTACAGAGGACAGGTTCAAGATTTAAATTCGATTGCTCTGCAGAGGGGCGGAATATAAATAAATTATTATTATTATTGTTATTATTGTTATTATTGTTATTATTATTATTATTATTATTATTATTAAATTACCATTAACAGATTGGAGAACTGGACCAAAGTTAATGGTATGAATTTCAACAGAGGTGAATCCAAAGTTCTATATATCTAAAGTTCAGGAAAAATGAAAAAAACACAAATATAGTATGAGTGACACCTAGCTTAACAGCAGTACATGTGAAAAAGATCTAGGGATCTTAGTAGATTGATCACAAGCTAGAGATGAGTCAACAGCACTGCCCAACACATTGAAAGAAGGTGATAGGCCATTTAGTCTTTCAACTCAAAGAAAAGCTTCATCAGGCAGATTGGAGTTGGAAGACAGGGAAAAGCATTAAGACACCATTAAGATATCAGAAGCATTATTCATAATTCTGAAGATGACTATATCTGTATGTTGATATGCTAAAGCACATAAATCAATGGCTAGAATCCTCTAAAATACAGTATAGTGTAAGAGTTCTCCATGCAGAACTATACTACAGCTATCCATTTAACACTCCCAGCCAACTTGGTGAACAGTCAGAAAGTACAGGACAGAAGTCTAAACCATGCTGAAGATCAAAGTTTGGGAATTTCTGCCCTAAATCAGGGATATTCAACTTTTGGCTCTCCAGAAGTTTTGGGACTTCCGCGCCCAGAATCCTTCACTGATGTTGTATATTTGTATTTGTTGATCCGCTGTTGTGCCCCCCCCCCCCCCCCGATCCAAGAGGGGAGGTGGTTATGAAGAAATAGTAATTATTATTATTTCTGGGAACTACTAAGTCCAAAGCTGTCAGAGGATTGAGAAGCACTGGCCCAGAGGACCACCGAACCCACCTTGGCCTCAGAAGCGGGGAGAGAAACCAACTGCTGGAAATGTGTGTTGTTTTAATAGGTATATGTATGTGCCTAAGAGCCAGTGTGGTGTAGTGGTTTGAGTGATGGACTGCAACTCTGTAGATTAAGGTTCAAATCGCAGGTTGGCATTGACCCTGGGCAAGTCACACACTCTCAGCTTCAGGGAAAGGCAATGGCAAGGCCACTCTGAACAAATCTTGCCAAGAAAGCTCCATGACAGTAGTTTGGTGAGAAATTTTGTCAAGAAAACTCAAAGCCTCAGGGTCGCTGTAAGTGTGAAATGACTTGAAGGCATACAATAACATCATGTCTTTTTTGTTCTTTTCAACTGGCGTGTGTGTTTTAACTCATGTTGTGTACTTATTGGTAAGTTGCTGTTCCCTGCCTCAA